ACTTGTTAACGGATATATACTTTTATATATATACATGAATCGCAAAATGTGTTGCTAAGCACATAACTCAACAACGCCTGGACCAATTTGGTCAATTTCTTTTTCTAAATGTTCGTTGACGTTCATGGATAGTTTTTACGGCAAGAAAATTTCGAATAATTTCCAGGAAACCCCTAAAAAATGCCCTTTACTTTTTACCAAACAAACGAACGAATGTTTTTTTGTTAGTAACGCTAAGAGAACGGCTGCATCAATCTAGATGAAATTTTCAGAGGTTGTTCGTTTTGGATCGGGGAAGGTTTAAAAATAAAAATTCCTTATACTTTTCATGAGGAAAAGTCGGAAAATTTGATAGTTCCAAAAAGTAACTCTTTTCCATAATTTTTTTTTTTTTTTAATTTTTGTTTGTGAATCGTTCAATTTCGGTTGCTTGCTTTTTTATTCCGGCTATTCAAAAGAAAAATTATTGAAAATTATTCACTGAAAACTTTTCATATGTGTGTTTCATGCAAAGTGATCAGATTGAAATTTGTTACGAAGCCACGAAGAGGTCGCCCTAATATCGGTCGGTGTTTTTTTGCGAGCAACGTATGGCAGCCCAAGGTAAGGCAAGGCAACAAACACTCCCAGGATGCGATGACTTACATATGTAGGTGCGGAATTATGGATCGCGATCAATCAGCAATTGGTCGTCACGATGTAGCACGACTTTTCAAACAACAGTTACGATGTTTGATGGTGCTGTTGAATGCTAGATGTACTATGTTGCTTGGCAAAAGAGAGCACGTACACATTTTTCTTTCTATGGGTTACACCAGATCAAATTGATGAAATCATTTCTGCGGAAATTCCTGATGCAGAGAAAGATGGAGTATTATACAAACTGATGAAAAGTAAACTGGTTCATGGACCTTGCGGACATTATAATCCCTTTTCGGTTTGTATGGCTGACAATAAATGCACGAAACACTATCCACGTGCTTTTCTTTCGGAAACACAAACTAGAAATGATGGATATCCACTCTACCGACGTCGTTCGCCCAACGACAATGGCAGAATATTCAGCATTTAATTTAGAAGAAATAATATCGAAGTTGACAAGCATGGATCGTACTATATTCACCACTATGTCTAATTCACGTTCAAGACTCATATTAATGTTGAGTATTGACGCTTGGTGTAATCGATAAAATACGTTTATAAGTACGTCACTAAAGGAAGCAACATAGCGGTTATTGGTCTTGAACGAGATGAGATCATCAAGTATCAAATGGTCGATACGTGAACTGCAATAAAGCGATTTGCATGATATTTACTTTTGCAATTCATGAACGTTTTCCGACAGTTTTGCGTCTCGCAGTTAATTTGGAGAATGGCCAAAGAGTATATTTCAATGATTTCCCATTTCAATTCAAACGTATTCCGCTTCCAGTGAAAATTGCATATGAGGTGACAATCAACAGCACACAACTTGGTTTGCCAAGTTTGAAAGTGCTATGTTTTTCCCACGGCCAGGTATACGTGGCGCGCTCACGCGTTTGAAAACCATCTTTTCGGTACACCGGAACAGAAACCAAAAAGTGTGGTTTCCAAAGCTACGTTACATCGAAAAAAAAATTAAATGATAAATTCAACTTTCTTTTCATTTCAAAACACATAATTTCACGCAGGACAACGGCTGCAGGGTCAGCTATATATAGAAAATACTATTAGAAAATACTACTGTGATTGAAAGGTGGATTTTTAATTTAACTTTAATTTATACTTCGCGTGTTTTTCGAATTGGTAAATTTTTTTTCTCTAAGTTGATAGTACTGTTAGTGACATTTATGCTAAATCTCAGTAGAATTTGAGGTGCGCGTCGTTTTAAATGGCTCCAAAAGTGCATTCTTCGATTTTTAGCTTTGGATATTCGTGATAATTTCGCCATATTTTCAACTAATATCGTGCCGCAACCACCGCAATCGCCTGATTTATAATAACTTCTCGCCATTCAGCAAATTCACACGCTCACTACGAGGACACAGTTTTGACTCAATTGAGGATATAAAAGCTGAATCGAAGAAGGCTCTGATGGCCATCATGACGAGAATTTTTCAAAATGCTATGATGACTGGAAAAATCGTTGGCATAAGTATATTGCAGTGGGAGGGGATTACTTTAAAGGAGATGAAGTTCACAAAATTCAGAGTAGTAAATTATTCAAACACATATTTGTCTTTTTTAATTTTGCGTTATTTATGTGACTTTTTCCAAATTAGTATTTGGAGGCATACAGCGCTATACACATTATACTTGTATGCATACAAATCGTAAATAAATATAGTTTAAAAAAACTAAAAACCACGCTTTTAAAGCATATCAAACTAAAAAGTGAAAAATAATTCTTTGTATAAACTAACAATAATAATGAAGGAAAAATTMTTGGATTATTGTGAAAAWAGCGTGGAATGCTCGATGTATGAAAAATATGTCACAAAGCACTCCACGCTTTTCAGCAACATGGATTCATATGCACTTAGCTCGTACGTCCATTTATTACACATAACACATACCAGTCGAAAACGCGTGTACGTTTCGACAGCCGGTTCTATTCACCGGAATTAACCCAAATTTTATATGGCCAAGGGCTAACCCCGTTTTGATCGGTGAGTATTGATATGTAAACTCTACCTCGATCAGGTGTAATACATGCAATGGATGGAGCCATCTTAAGACACATAGGGGATGGACCACGAGTTACGTTGACCCATGTTGCCAACACAATACTGCGACACTAGCCTCTACGGCTGTGGAATTTGCACTCACCCCGAGTTTTCAACAGTGGACCGTGGCCCAGGAGCTCAATCAGGCAACATAGCTCCCAATCTTATTTGTCTCTCCCACCTCCATCCAGCTCTTATTCTCGCGCGAGAACAACTCAGCAATTTCTGGTTCCTCGCACAGTCTGTTTGTGTGTCGGACCGTCATACATCAGAACGTCATATCAGTCAAGTGCAATTCTTGCACTGGCTGTTCTTTCCGGCGTGTTTTTCGGTATCCCTGAATCTCAAACGGTCGTAGGTGGATTGCTCTTTCGGAACAGATTTCCTTTTGGTCAGACCTCGTCGAAACAGCACGTTTCCTAGGCCTCCCGTTAGAAGACGTACCATTCTAATCTGTTAAAATCTGTTGAGATATATGCAAAATGGTTACTTGTTCGCGCGGCAGTCTATACATTCTAGTCAGGAAGAAGGGCTAAGTTGTGTTGTAACCGAACATTTTATACTCTCATAATTYGATATAATCAACGCCAGGAAAATATTTTCCGGTGTTGGTAAAACTTATTGCAGTAAAGATTGCAATAATAGTAATTAAAACATTATATAAGTATACGGGCAACATGGATTTCGCGACTTCAAAAAAAACTTAATTTCTATAAGCTTTGAAAAATTGTGCGATCTAGCTCAGCTATATGGTTACTGAAAACTTTAAACACGTTTTCTTTTTCTTTTTGGTCTTGAAAATTTTTGGTTGGATTTGAACAATTTACGTTATAGGGTGGCATACACTTAAGGCATTATTCGTGCAAAGTTTAATCTTGTTATGTTAACTGCTTCGTGATTTGTGTACTGGAAAGTAAAAGAATCAAGTGGACTTTAAAATTGTGCTATATTGGAAAATGGCGTGGTTATTTTCCGATTTTACTAATTTTCACAAAGTGACATAGAAATATAATGATAATTTCATGTTTCAAATTTTGTTGAAATCGGTCGATCGGGACCGAGATATGGCGGTGCCACSCCCATCGTCCAATTTTAACGCCGGCCCTAATAATGCCTAGTCATATCATCTCGGCGTAAAAACTTAACGCTTCTGGCGCATTTAGTTATTGATTTATTCCGCTTTTAATRCTTTTGAACATTACCGTTATATGGGGAGTGGGCGGGGTTTTCATCCGAGTTCATTCATTTTCACACTGTCAGTAGAGGCTCTTGTAATATTCGTACCGGGCGAATTTGACTGTTGCAGCTTTAGTTGTTTTGGAGATATGCACATTAAACCTATTAGAAGGCGGGAGCATGCCTCCACACGAAACGGTAAATTTTTTTCTGTAAGTTGATAGTACTGTAAGTCACCGTCAAAATATTCATTAGTATTTGAGATACGCGTCATTTTGTGAGACTCTAAAAATTAATACTTAAATTTCTACTATGTCTGAATGTGCTATGTTGAGAGGAAAATTCGTTGGAATAAGAGCATTGCAGCGGGAGAGGATTACTTTGAAGGAGATGAAATGGACAAAATCAAAAAATTCACCTTTCAATTTGATCACAGAAGTACACCAATCTCAATTAATTTTTTGGTTTTAGAAACACCTTCACCTTTCAATTTGATCACAGTCGTATATCAATATCAATTAGTTTTTAGTTTTATAAACAATTGTGTGGTGAGCAAACCTCGGCAACAGATTGCGAAAGTAAATAAAAATGTGTAATAACGAATGCATATATAAGGAAAAGAGGGTAGTATTGACCCGATTAACCAAACTTGTAATACCATTATCATAAAAATAATATCTCCGAATTGTAATTAGAGATCTAAATATCAATATTTTCCATAAAATGTCAGTCATAGGCGCTGGGGTCCACAAATTTGGTATTTACGGACTTGAAAAGCTCTCCGCTGATTTCGAATTTTTTTGGACGAGGGTTGACATAGCTTAATGCACTTTTTGAACAAGGACTTATTCTAATAATTTTATCAGTATTTGGTTTATTCTATCTAATGTGATAGTATCATATGGAGTTTGAAATTTAGATATATGGGAAATAGGCTACAGCTGTGCACTAGCTCTTTAATAGAATATCAAGTGCAACATTTAATACTCTGACGTATTTAGATCTTGGTATTTTTAACATATCCGTTATTTGGGCGGTAGGCTAATTTCAATCATCTTTATTGAGATATAGAACAACATATCCGTTATTTGAAGGAAAGGCTGATTTCAATCATCTTTATTGTAGGAGGAGGTGCTAGAAAGAATTATGTTTGAAGTACTTTAATCAGTTTGTGAGATATGCACATTCAACCTAATGAATCCTCTTCAATAAAGACGAAAGAGAGTTGGCTGAAAATATGTATAGTGTTTGTGGTCCTGATACTGTTACAAACAATCAAACGTAATTTTGATTTCATGGATAGCGTTCCGGTCAAAGATTCCGGTCCCAAAATAACGGAAATACTTGAATCAGATCAAAGTTTTGTTTTCATTGCTCAGGAGATAAATATTGCACTAAAAATAGTTTCGAGCCATTGAAAAAAAGTGAATTCAGCTCAATAGTGTGTAACAGCTTAAACTGTATACAAGCGAGGATTGTTAGTCAAAAAGATTTTGTTATATCTTTGGTGAGATTGACAAGAGAAATCAACTATTGTTAAATGCTTCCAAACTATTAAATCGGATCAGTACCGGCAACAATTGGACTGCCTGAAGGAAGGAAAGTCAGAAGCAGCCATCTTTGGCCGATAGGAGAGAAATTGTGCTCCATCAGGTAAAAGACAGACCACATAACCAGCTTTAAAAAACATAAAAAATTATACCATTATAATTAAATATAATTTCAATTATTATATGTCATAACATAAACTAACTTCATTTTATCTTTCTCTACACTATATTAAATCAATATATAGAAATATTTACCGGCACCACTTCGTTCATAGTGCATTGGTTGCACCAAGGTCCATTCGTTATTCTCAGGGTGATAGCATTCTACAGTTGTAAGGCGGTCGGTACCGTTGAAGCCTCCAATAGCATACAATAAGCGATTTACAACAACCACTCCAACTCCTAAACGTTTTTCATGCATGGGTTGCACCAGTGTCCAACGATCTTGATCCGGATCATAACTATTAAATATATATATGTAAGTTTAATATTTTATTTTTCCTATCCGTATTCACTACATACTACTCAACTGAGCTGTGATATTCCGAACCTGCGGATCCACCAACAGCATACATCAATTCGTCCATTACGGCCACGCCTACTCGGTGTCGTGGTACTGTCATTGGAGCACATGGACGCCATTGTTCCGTTGAAGTATTATATCGGTCCACCCAATCAGAATCGTAAGAAGAACCAATTGAATTGTTTCGCCCGCCGACAGCATAGAAAGTGCCTTTCAAGAAAGCGGCACCAAGGCCAGATCGGGGAATTCGTAAGTTTGGCAACGTTGTCCAGGTTTTATCATCAACATTATATGCTTCTAGAATATCTAACGATTGTCGAAAAAATCCTCCTGCTACAAAAATCATTCGAGTCGTATTTGGTGTTCGCTCCTTCACAACTGGTCTTTTGTGTAAAGTCAAATCTTTAAATATCTTTGCTAAATATTCCCGACATGCGGGCACTTTTCGTAGCACATCGCAATTTCTCATTTGTTCCTTAAGGAAATTTGGTGTCAGAAACTGACATCTAACAGCATAAAGTATATGTTCCATTTTAGGATAACGGTTTTCTTCATCGTATTTAACCCATTTAAGTACGGCATTATATACTTCCCTCTCTTCTTGAACATTTAGCTCATCGCGTCGAATTAGCGCTATCAATTGGTAAGCGGACAATTGCAAAAATTCTTCTTCTTGACAAACCTGCAAATAAAATTTTTAAACACATTAGGATATCAGTATAAACATCATTAACTAGACAGTAATTTTAATATCTTCACACCTCTTCTCCCACCTCTACTAAGATCGTTTTCTAATTGCCATTTTCACTTGGTGTTGGCGGTGCTGTATATTTCACGGAAATCACGTTGACCATGCTCTGCGAAGCTCAGATTTTAAGTGCATATCGGGAGTAATAAGGCATAACTACTGGGGAAAATAGTTTCATAGGTTTTAATAGAAGCGACGCATTAAGGACCTTGGTAAGATATCCAATTCGCGTCGAGACTAGAAGCTTTAGCATCAAAATTTGTATGCCACCTGGGCAACTGGATTTCCAAAACTTCGCCTTTGTTGATGACACCTTGAACCTCATTGTTAAAAATAAGTAACGTGCAGTCTCTTCACACTTTGCCCAATCACCAGGTAACTTTTCTTTTATTCTTATCAGTTAAAGGGTACAGAGCAGATTACCGACTAAAATAACTCGCACACTTCTTCGGGTTTGAGGAGGAATGGCCATTCAAATGAATTTCGCTCGACGTAAGACATCGCGTTCGTTTATTAAAACTGTGGCTGGAAAATTTAGGCGGATATCCGCGATTCTTCCAGCAGCAGCGTTATTGACAACGATTGTGTTCGCATTCTAAACAACCGTTTTTAAGCCAGCGATTTTGAATGTGCAGTTTATCTTTCAGGGATTATAAWTATTCTTTTCATAATTTTTTTTTAGATGTGCGAATGAAATTTATTATATATGTAGAAACATGGTCAAAATAATAACTACTTTCCTTTACCCTGCAATGTTGTTAAATTTTGAGTGTCTGATAAAATAAACGAAAGCAAATTTGGGTCAGCTTTAATAAATTCGTTATAACAATATTTTTAGAGTGAAAAGAAAATGGTGAAACAAAAGTGTTGAGTGTTCATCGTATTTCGTGCAGAATGCCCTAAGTTCAATTATGTATATGATAAAAGAAATAAAATGTAGCATTTTAAGATGAATAAACGTGAATTTAATAGTCATTAAAAGTCAGCAACTTTTACCAACCACCCAACTCCATCATTTTTTTTCTTAGATTCTTCTTCTTAATTGGCGTAGTCACCGCTTACGTGATTATAGCCGAGTTAACAACAGCGCGCCAGTCGTTTCTTCTTTTCGCTACGTGGCGCCAATTAGATATTCCAGGTGAAGCCAGGTCCTTCTCCAATTGGTCCTTCCAACGGAGTGGAGGTCTTCCTCTTCCTCTGCTTCTCCCGGCGGGTACTGCGTCGAATACTTTCAGAGCTGGAGTATTTTTGTCCATCCGGACAACATGACCTAGCCAGCGTAGCCGCTGTGTTTTAATTCGCTGAACTATGTCAATGTCATCGTATATCTCGTTCCATCGAATGCSATATTCGCCGTGACCAACGCGCAAAGACCATAATTAACGGGAATTATGAGTGACTTATAGAGTTTGGTTTTTGTTTGTCGAGAGAAGACTTTGCTTCTCAATTGCCTACTCAGTCCGAAGTAGTACCTGATGGCAAGAGTTATCCTGTGTTGGATTTCCAGGCTGACATTGTTGGTGGTGTTTACGCTGGTTCAAAAATAGCCGAAATTATCTACAACTTCAAAGCTATGATTGTAAGCAGTGACGTGAGTGCCAAGTTGCGAGTGCGACAACTGTTTGTTTGATGACAGGAGATATTTCGTCTTGCCCTCGTTCACTGCCAGACCCATTTGTGTTGCTTCCTTGTCCAGTCTAAAGAAAGCAGAACTAACTATAGAAGATGGTACCTTCTCTATTTAGTTCTTTAGCTCGAACTATTTTCTCCAGAAGCAGGTTGAAAAAGTCGAACGATAAGGAATCGCCTTGTCTGAAACCTCGTTTGGTATCGAACGGCTCGGAGAGGTCCTTCCCGCTTCTGACGGAGCTTTTGGTGCTGCTCAACGTCAGCTTACACAGCCGTATTAGTTTGGCCGGGAGACAAATTCAGACATCGCGGCATAATGGCAACTCTTTTTCGTGCTGTCGAAAGCAGCTTTGAAATCAACGAAGAGGTGGTGAGTATCGATTCTCCTTTTACGGGTCTTTTCCAAGATTTGGCGCATGGTGAATATCTGGTCGGTTGTTGATTTTCCAGGTCTAAAGCCACACTGATAAGGTTCAATCAGATGGTTGACGGTGGGCTTTAATCTTTCACACAATACGCTCGATAAAACCTTATATGCAATGTTAAGGAGGCTTATCCCACGGTAGTTGGCGTAGATTGTGGTGTCTCTTTTCTTGAGGATTGGGCATAGCACACCTAAATTCCAATCGTTGGGCATGCTTTCCTCCGACCATATTTTACAAAGAAGCTGATACATGCTTCCTATCAGTTTTTCGCCGCCGTGTTTGAATAGCTTGGCCGGCAATCCATCGGCCCTCGCAGCTTTGTTGTTCTTCAGGCGGGTAATTGCTTTTCGAACTTCTTCCTGGTCGGGCAATGGAACGTCTGCTCCATCGTCATCGATTGGGGAATCGGGTTTGCCTTCTCCTGGCGTTGTGCGTTCGCTGCCATTCAGCAGGCTGGAGAAGTGTTCCCTCCATAATTTATGCTCTGGGCATCGGTGACTAGATCACCTTTGGGGGTTTTACAAGAGTATACTCCGGTCTTGAAACCTTCTGTAAGCCGCCGCACTTTTTCGTAGAATTTTCGAGCATTACCCTGGTCGGTCAGCTTATCAAGCTCTTCGTACTCACGCATTTCGGCCTCTTTCTTTTTCTGTCTGTAAATGCGTCTCGCTTCCCTCTTCAACTCTCGCTATCTATCCCATCCCGCACGTGTTGTGGTCGATCGTAATGTTGTGAGGTAGGCAGCCTGTTTTCTCTCCGCTGCGACACGGCACTCCTCGTCGTACCAGCTGTTCTTTTGCACTTTCCGAAAACCAATGGTTTCGATTGCAGCTGTAAGTAAGGAGTTTGAAATGCCGTCCCACAGTTCCCTTATACCGAGTTGTTGACGAGTGCTCTCAGAGAGCAGGAGTGCAAGCGGAGTAGAAAATCGTTCGGCTGTCTGTTGTGATTGCAGCTTCTCGACGTCGAACCTTCCTTGTGTTTTCTGGCGTACGTTTTTAGCTGCACAGAGGGCCGTGCGAATCTTGGCTGCAACAAGATAGTGGTCTCAGTCGATGTTAGGACCTCGGAGCGCACGCACATCCGTCTATCACAACATGATCGATCTGGTTGGTGGTTTTTCGATCCGGAAACAGCCAGGTAGCTTGATGTATCTTCTTATGCTGGAATCTAGTACTACAGATAACCATATTTCGGTCCGGCGAAGTCAATCGGCCTCAACCCATTTGGGGATGTTTCCTCGTGGAGGCTGAATTTACCGACCGTAGTGCCAAAGATACCTTCTTTGCCCAACCTGGCGTTAAAGTAATAGTAAATAGTAAATGCCACARGGACCTACTCGTCTCTGTCCTTGTCCCGTCCATCGCATTTCTTGGATGGCGGTGATGTCAGCCTTTATTTTTACGAGGACATCAACCAGCTGGGCAGCGGCACCTTCCCAATTAAGCGACCGGACATGCCAGGTGCATGCCCTCATTTTGTAGCCCTTATTTCGTTTGCCATGGTCGTCATCAAAAGTGAGGTCTCTCATCTGAGGCCGTTGTTGCGTTTTCATTGGGGGTGTTTTTTTATGTGGCGGGTCCCAAACCCAGCGCACAACCCTATGCAGGGGATGTTTCGCCTTCTCACTATAGCTCGCYTTCAAACGGATGTTCTTAGGCTGCCCAGAGGATACTTGGTCAAGGACGGGAAGTCGTGAGCTGCTGAGTCATATGTAAAAGAATCGTTTCTGGCCACTCCCAAGTGAATGGCGATAAGAAAACTTTCCTCACTTGCGTGAACTTCTACACATGATTCCATCCTCTTTCCTTAGATTGTTCTTTCGATTTAGTTATTGCAAACAATATCGAAATTATTTGAATAACAGTAATTGTAATGCCGACGCTATTTGAGAACTATCACTAATCTGCTACAAACGCTAATGAAGCATCTTTTTTCACATATTTTTCGGACGATCCCTTTTTTTTAAATTAAAATAAATTTTTATCACTGGACAAATACTTGATAAAGCCTAAGGGCAGTTAATTTCTTTGCAGTTATATTGAGCAAGTACAATATTCTAGCAATCTCAACTGAGAGGCGGTCACGCTCGATACTAGACTGAGAATTGATAAAGAAAAAAATACGCCCGCAATTTGCGTTGTAATCATGGATAGACAACACGTACTGAACTATTATCAAAATTTCATGTCAAAGTATTCATTAGTGTTTGAGATACGTGTCGTCTTGTGAGCTGCTAAAAGTGAGTTTTTCGTTTTTTGCGATGTCGAAATTTGTTGAGCAAAGAACTTGCATTAAATTTTGTTTACGGAATCAATTTTCTGCTGCGGATACGTTGAGGATGGTGCAGAAAGCCTTTGGTGTTGAAAACCCGTCGATTAACAATTAGAGACCTTGTTGATGAAGTTGGCATATCGAAAGGCTCAGCCAATACCATTTTGAAGGATGTTTCGACTGGTACCGAAAACATTGAATTTTTTGAATAAAAGGCGTCGCGTTGAAGTGTGTGAAACGATGCTTTCCGACTACCAGAGTGTCATGGTCAAGGTCATGTTGACTGTTTTCTTCAATTATCTTGGTGTTGTGCATTATGAATTCCTTCCAACCGGTCAAACAGTCAACAAGGAATATGATTTGAACGCGTCGTTTGCGTAACGCTATCCGCCTAAAAAGGCTGGAGTTGTGGAAAGACAATTCTTGGTTTTTACACCACGATAATGCACCATCCCATACTGCCCTCGTATTCGTGATCATTTCGCCAAAAACTCAACCCATATCGTTCCGCAACCACCGTATTCACCTGATCTGGCGCCGTGCAACTTCTGGCTGTTCACCAAGTTCAAAAGAAAAAGCTCCGGGGACACCGTTTTTATACAATAG